CAGAGCAGGTAAAATAGGGCCTGCTGCAGTTTTTTCACCTGCTCTGGAACTGCTCTGGAACTGCTCTGGAACTGCACGCTGCGATGTGAACTGGAGCAAAAAATACCATTGGAATACATTGGACGCAGTTTTGATCCGGTCTGCAACTGCTCTGCTCTGCACCTGCTCCGCGCTTGGTGTTAACAAGGCCTAAGGAGCACACGGAGCTCCCGGGATTTGTACATCTCTGTTTTAATGTATGATTTTGTTTTTATAAATATACACTGAGTGGCCAGATTATTATGACCACCTGACCTTTGTAGGCTAATTAGCTATAATTTGGCGCTTGAAGTTGCTAGAGGGCCAGACCATTATAAATAGGGAAGCAGGTTGTTTACCACGACAGTAGAAGTGATTTGTTTCTGAAGATACGGGTAAGCAAAGCGATTTAAAGGAGAACTATGGGGGTTAAGTCTTTTCCCCATAGTTCTCCTTAGGGTAACACGAGTACACAAACTAGCGTCCTCCCGTCACCCTAAGAGATTACTAGCACACACAAGAGTGGCCCCATAGGACCCTGCAAGGGAAAGGAGCCACACCAAGATTACTAGCACACAAGAGTGGCCCCATAGGACCCTGCAAGGGAATGGAGCAACACATAGATTACTAGCACACAAGAGTGGCCCCATAGGACCCTACAAGGGAAAGGAGCCACACACAGATTACTAGCACACATAGGGGTGGCCCCATAGGACCCTGCAAGGGAAAGGAGCCACACATAGATTACTAGCACACAAGAGTGGCCCCATAGGACCCTGCAAGGGAACGGAGCAACACATAGATTAATAGCACACATAGGGGAGGCCCCATAGGACCCTGCAAGGGAAAGGAGCCACATACAGCTTACTAGTACACAAGGATGGCCCCATAGGACCCTACAAGGGAAAGGAGCCACACACAGATTACCAGCACACACAAGGGTGGCCCCATAGGACCCTGCAAGGGAAAGGAGACACCCTAAACCAGGATATCAGGGCCAGTGCTCAGGGGACCGGCTGATTCTGCAGGAAGGAGCCTCCATTGCAGGAGATTTAATCAGCATGTGAACTCGTATTTTGACTTTAATATCCCTTTAAGAATTGTTTGTTGCTCACGTCTACCAATCAGATTTCGGCTGTCACTCAAACTCCCGGCTTAGAAGAGCAAGAGGGAATCTTATTGGCCGGTTGTAGCAATCGGGGGGCCCTCCCTCCCTCCGGCTCCTCTGGTGTCTGCAAAGCATCTTTTTAAAGTAGTTGATGTTTAACCCGCAGCGCGTGTGCGTGATGCGGAGCGCGCCTTTCCCCCGGCTGGGAATACAACGAACCTAAATAAAGCCTCGTCTGCAAATATGTTATCGACCGATCTCCCAACACCCGCGCTCCACCGCGACACGAGCCGCGGCGACGCACGCGCAGGAGGCAGCAGGCGCGCTGATCGCATGTTTGCTTAGTGGGAGTCATAGGAGGCTGAGTTGTGACAAGCGACGGAGGACATTGAAGCAGGACTACAGATCCCATCAATCCATGATCATACAGCAATTATAAGGGCTGAATTTGGGTCTCACCAGGGCCCTGCAGGTGGGTGCTGGGCAGAATGGGTGAGATGCGGGCTTGCGCCGGCCCCTGGGGCTATACAGGCGGGTGTGGATCTGTCCTGTGCTGGCGCCGGGAAGGAGGAGGAGTCAATGTATGGCCGGGCCG